TCCATTTTTTGTAAAACTATGGGCTATACCTTGGGTATTTTTCGAAAAATGGCTGTTTTTCAAATGCTCATAACTCGAAAATCAGTTGTCAGACACAGCTCAAACTTTCTACATAGCATAATGACATAAAATGAAATTTATAATTAAAAACCATACCCACTCTAAAATACACCCACCTGCACAGGCACTTTATCAGTTGCACCAACTCCTATAATAACCAAAACTAGTAAAACTCAGTAAAACTCAGTATACTCACAGTAGCAGTGATGTTACCCTGCATGAGCATGAGCTAACGCTTTAAGGAAAAACCCTTCAGGAAGGTTCCTAACAAAAACTTACCAATGATAGTCACATGACATATGGTCACATGATGAGGTCACATGATGTACCACTTACATTATAATGGGTAAGGTTTAGTTTGGATAATATTTCAATCCAATGAGTAATAATAATGTGATCCTTTTCGAGTAAAAAAATAATCTTAGAAACCTAAAAAAATAATTTATAGGTTACAAATTATTAGCAAACTATAATTTACATGTACATGTAAATACACTTGCCGTATTTAATTGATTTGAGTAACAATTAGAATAGGATTGATTGAACTATTCCTATAAATAAATAAACAAGCAATTAAATAAATATACTTTTGCTGTATTACAATGTCCTTCAGGAGCTTCAAAACTTGACATAAACTTGATCAACATTTGAATTCAATCCTATTAACAATTAATTCAATAAAATACATGTACATGTACTTACTGGCAGTTTGTAGTTAAACCATACATACATAATGATAGGCCTATGATACATAACAAATGAGACACAAATTGACGCTACACATGTAAATGTACAAAAAATAATTAATAAATAAATATACTAGCTGTGAATGATGGACAAACGAACCTTTAGGAAGATCAAAAATATCATCCTTCTTGTACCAGGTTTTATAATGAGGAGTATCCTTAATGATTACTGGATACTATAAAAGAGAGAGAAGGGGAGGAACAGGAAGAGAATTAGAAAGACTAAACTTACTTTAGTCTGTGGTACATCTTCAGCTAATAGCTCAAACTCAGAAGCTAACATAAACAATACAAAATTAATAATTATTTGGAATGTTTTTGTTACTAATAAACTTTATATGGGTGCGACAAGTATAGCTTAGGATTTCGGGACAAAGCAAAAATATTAATAATTATTAAAATACATGTACATACTTTCCCAGCTCCCTTTCCACTTCAAACTAACATCTAACAGAGAAAGACATTAATTCATGTTGTACCTTCTTTGTTGTATTTAGTGTTGACCAATGGGCCAGTATTGTGACACTCAACCTTGAATGTTTTCAAAATCAAACAAATGAAGCAAATGGAGGGAGAGAGACAGTTTAGTAATGATGATATCAACTAAGAGAGAGAGAGAGAGAGAGAGAGAGAAATAAAGAATGATATGCATATTGTAGTACATTATACCAAGAGTCCATTATATTTAGAGAGAGTGTCGAACTGCCCTATAGTGCTAGTGATATCACCGCGTAGATGTTTC